TAATTTTTAAAAGCCTCGCAACTGCGAGAGTAAAATCTTTTGGCTTACAAATCTTTGGCTTACAAATCTTTGGCTTACAATCAATCCCCCAATGCTTATGTAATTGCGATACGACCTTCACGAGGGCTTCCATCCTCCTTGTTGCTCTGATAGCGTCCTCTCTGCCGGGCTGGTTCACTCCCTCCGGCCGCCGTTCACCCGTCCAGGCGATGACTTCCCGGGTTTCGGCACCACTTGTTGCAGTTCAAACGGCTGCAGCGACCTGGTTCAGGGACGGCACGGCAATGTGGTGGACGGCAAATGGCGTTTATTGATGGGTAACAAGGTGTTATATATCTAGGTTTACAACGTCACATCCGTCTGCTTACATCATAGACTAAACACTATTGGCTATTAGGGGCCCTATCTTTCCGTACAGCACGATATCTTCCGGCCGCCGGACCATAACTATCTGCAACAGTAGGGTTTAGTAGAGAAAGTCCACTCTACTTTTGAAATTCGCCAAGGAATCTAACCACTTCCCCCAGGGGAACTATTTCAAAACTTAATACGTCACCATGCCAGGACATAATTCTATCTAATTACTGCATAGCTGGTGTTTACATCATTTGGATATTTGAACATGTTTTCTATCATTATTCTGCTTCTTATTTCTGCAGGCAAGAGAACTGGAATTTTAATAAATCATCTAATAAATACTGGACAACTCTGTTTACAAACTATCTGGGGAACATCTGATATGTTTTGCTAACTACATATTTGGGTTATGTGGTGGAAGAAGGTGGAGGGGAGGGAAGACTATGGGGAGAGCGGGTGGAATGACTGGTTTGCTACATGTAAAAAGGGTGTAGACACTCATCAAAAAGTGAAGAGCAGAAAAAAAGAAAACTTCTTTGTTTATCTTGGCCTTTACTCCTTGATTTCAAAGGTGCAGGAAGTCTAGACTTTGCAGACTGTCTAACTGGAAAGGACTATGAACACAGTGCCTCTACAAACCTGGCCATCGTTCACATTTTGCGCAGTCCTACAGCTTCCATTATGAGGAGTCATGCATAAGGAATTAAATGTCATTTAAATAATAAATACAGAACACGTGAGATATGGAAAATTTCCTCTGATAATAAAGAGCACAGTCACAGTCAAGGGGAAATCATGCACATCCAGAACTTCACTCATGTTTTTATACATATTATTTCTGTTCACAAAATTACAGGGTTTTTTGCACCTAAAATCTCTAGGTGATCCAGCTATATATAACTTATTTTAGCCATGCTCAGAATAATTGCAAGGCAGTTGACTGTGCTTTGCATAGAGCCGGAGAATCATAGAACTGATCTAATTTAAAGGATGTCCAAAAAGTCTCTAGTGCAACCTCCTGCTCCAAAACACAAAATTAAATTCAGACCATGCTGTTCAGGGCTTTATCCAGTTGGATCTTGAAAGCCTTCAAGGATCAAGAGTGCATAGGCTCTTTGGGCAAGCGGCTCCACTTGTGGGGGAAAAAAAAGTTTCCCTTATGCTCACTCTGAACCTCTCTGTTTTCAACTTGTCCCTGTTGTCTCTCATCCTAAAGCCATGCATTACTGTGCAGAGCCTGGCTCTGTCTCCTCAGTGAGCTCCTCCTAGGTACGGGAATGCTGCTCTGAGGTCTGCCCCAACCTCTCTTCCAGGCCGAAGGAGCCCTGGTCCCTTGGCCTCTCCTTGCAGGGCAGGTGCTCCAGCCCTGAGTGTCCTGGTGGACGAGTTCCCTGGACTTGCCCCATTTTGGCAGCGTCTGCCTTGTACTGGGGAGCCTCGAACCAGAGGGCACAGTATCTTGGTGTGGCCTAAGAATCGTCAAGTCAAGGGGGACACTCACTTGCCTCCGTCTCCTGGCTGTGGTCCTGCTTACACAGCACAGTTTGTTATCATGGCTGCTTGGGGGCACTGTATAATGTACTAAGAGCAATCAGAGAACTATTACTCCTCTCACCATAATGGTCTTGTAAACTATTCACAATTTTACTTGTTTATTTACTTAGCTGCAGCCCAGAAAAAAACAGTAACACTCATAGGAAGGAGAAAAAAATAATCACAAACCATGTGTTCACACATGCCTAAAACCGAGAAGAGACCAAAAACAGAAATGAAAAGAGAAGAAAAACTTTTCACCTAATTATTTTAATGTAATGTTGGACAAGTGTATAGGATGGTGAGTACTAGATGTGAGTACTAAAAATGAAGCTCATATTTACGTTAGTGCTCTATTCTATTCTATTAATTCAATAATATCCTGTTCTGAGACTTCTGCTTCACACAACCTTTCCCAGTGATGTGTTGCAGTACACAATGCTGCATGGTATGAGGCAGGTACATATTTATGGAGACTTGAGTGATCCATTTATGACTTGTCTCATAATTTAGCTTTTTAAAAGTGGTTTTCAACTAATGTGTCACAATACCGTAGCAAAGCAATTGTAGTTCAACATTTCTACAGTTTTCACAAACAGTATGGCATCAAATCTATTTCCAAACAATTACATTTTCAGCAAATTATTCCAAAGACAGACTTCTTTGGATTGATTGTCCTATGCAACCACTGCTTGACACTCTTTACCGGGGTAAGTTTGAAGAGAAGTGGGCTGATTGCTTTTGGTCATTTTTCAGTAGTTGTACAAACCAGTGTAGTTTCTTCAGTACTCTCAAACCTTCTGTTTTTATGGATATATTCAGTAAATATGACTGTCCTTAGACCTTGGAAACACAGAGCACTGAGCTTTGCAATCTCCTATTCACATCTGATGTTAGACTGTGGTCATAGTGAATTCTGTCTCCTTTCTCGGGCAGTTCTGTTGATAATGGTAGATTCTGTCCCTGGGCTGAGTTGCAAAAGTGTTGTCTGAGGTCTGGAATGATGCTTGACACCTGGTCGGCTACCACCAACTCCTCTAGTCCCTCTTGAGCATGGCTTTGCATAGTGCCCATTTTGCTTATGGACACCTGAATATGCCTATACGTTCAATACCTGGAGATATTCAAAACTCTCCTGGATGCAAACCTGTACAATGTGCTAGAGGTGCCCCTGCTTGTGCAAGAGGGTTGGACTAGATGATCTCTAGAGGTCCCTTCCAACCTCAACCATTCTGCGATTCTGTGACTAGTGGGAACTGGCTATATACTTGGGACTACTCTTTTGGGCAGTATTACATAAACAGCTCTTAGACTTGTCTAGGTTTGGGTTCTAGTCTTTTCTTTTGCCCCGGGAAAGAAGCCAGGCAGCTCAGTTTAAAAGTTCTTGTTCTATGTGTTTTTACATCTTTCTTACTTTTCAGCAATTTTCTTAGGGTCTATATCTATGCTTTATTTAGCAAATTCTGCAACCTTTTTAAAATTGGAGCACAAAACAAATGGTCCAAATGCTATTGTTCCGCTGCAGCAGTTTCCACTTCAGCTGTTCCTTAGCTTATGCCTAACTTATGGAGAGTTAGGGTATGTTTTGCACTCTGATGGAATGTGATGCTAATAAACCACCAAGGAAGGGGATGTGCTGGGGCTTGGTCCACTGCTGATGTTTTAAAAAAGGTGGTGTGCTGCTGAACTTATCTATTGTCCCATCAGACTCAGGGTGTAGCTTGGGGCATTTTATAGACCTTTGATTCTCCAAAAATTTGGAGAGTCCGAATTAAAAAAACAAAAAAAGAATTCTCCCTAGATTTCTGGGTAATATGTTTAAAACATCAGATCTTTGACTTGTTAGAAATTCTACTACTATTATAGTTTCTTGATTTCTTTTCGAAACAGAAATGAAAGAAAAGGGGAAAGTTTGGGAAAGGGGACCATCAGTGTACAAAGATCACTCCTACAGTCTGTATTGAGGTCTCAGCAGTTAAATGGAAGTGTCTGACAATCCAGATTCTTCCCTCTAAGGGTTACAGATGTACTAGAAAAATATTGAGATTATTCTGTCTCACTACAATTCTCTGGATGGCCCAGCTCCATTCTAGGTGGCTGACTGCCAGTAAGGTCTGTGATCCTTTGATTTTCTTCTCAGTGAGAACCATCTGCTCCGTGAGTCCTTGCTGCAACTCAACTTTGTTGTCAAATTCACAGTTTGCTACACCTTTTTCAGACTCCCTTTTTTTTTTCTCTCCCAGAAAACCTTCTGATTCATGACACCCGGATTGCTGATTACCTTCTTGATTTTTTTTTACTACTGGATGATGGGAACATTGTTATTGGGCTTCCTAATGGATCCAGGCAATGGTTGTTACAGTAGCTGCTACACTGAGATTTTTCTCCCTCTTTTCAGCTTTTCTCCTCGTACTTCCTGAGAAGTTTCCAGATGTTGTTTTAATTCCTTTTGAGAAGTTTCAGATTCTGACTGGAAAGCATCTCTAGTGAACCTTGAATTCAGAATGCTCCATTGGAATCTCATCTCACAATTTCTTTCCCTGGGGAAATCTTCAGTTTCCTCTTCAGAAAAGATCTTACTTCTAACACCATTGTTACTGTTTTTATAGAGTAGGTAGCCAACATTCACATTTTTGATGTGACCCTGTTTATTTACAAAGAGTCCGGGTAACATTCAGAATTCTCAGAGCTGTGCAAAGGTCAAAGAAAAGAAAGTATTTTCTTTGCTCTCAAATACAGGCTTTTTTTTTTCAGCCTATTTCTGCATATAGTCAGAGTTTTGGGTAATGACTCATTTCTTTCAGCTGTCTTCTCTGGCTTACACTAAAAAGGACTTGTGTCTTCTGTTTGCCCTGTATGCAGAGAATTGTTCTTAATAGTGTCAAGCGTCAATGATGTTTTACTCAAACTTCACTGTAATATTAAATCTATGCTTCAAGAGAACTGGATTATCCTGTAATAGATCACAACTGCCTAGCCTGCCATAATACTGCAACACATTTTAATTTATGCCTCATCCATTTTCATCCCTGTGTTTTTCTCTAAGCAGTCCTCAGAAAAGGAATTTTGTTGAATCAAGTGAAAAGGAAAGCCTTTCTGAGCTAAAGTTAACCTTTTACTTCTTTTGCAAGTTGCGAGGACACAACCTTTTCTCATTCAATCAATCAGTTGATCAGTCGATGAGAAGTGAGATGATGCATGAATGAAACTTTACTTTCTGTTTTATTTGATCACTACCCATATAAGTAAGGTGTAGAGGTAACACAGATGACCAACGTTACCTGTGTTTTTGGGCCCAAGTTTGACCAGACCAAAATGCACCTCGATTCCAGTATCTGGAATTTCCTGTTGGCTAGAAAGTCACCTGTATAATAATGTATGGTTGGGGTGCTGAGGGGTGAGCTGTCCACTGCCACCCTCAAGGACACAAAAAGTAAAAGCTTATAGGTAGAATTGGAAAGCTGAGTCTCCTGTCATACCTATGCATCTTTCACTTCTTGCAGTTACTTTTGATTAGTATTGGTGAGAGTGATGAGAACTAAATTTTGCCTATAAGTATTCTACAGACACATAATTTTCAGTAGCTGTGGTAAAACAGCTTCCTATACATGCAGACAAATGACATGGAGACAAAAAGCCTGTCTTTTTTGAAGGCAGCCTTGCTGGGCATAATGCTTTTAGACTGTGGAAATATAGATCTGAGTTTAGTAGCTTTTATCTACTTTTAACTTATATTGTAGTTATAACCAGTGAAAAAGAGATCAGGGTATTCAATGCAAATCTCTCTAGATACCACACAGAATATCTGAATTTAACACCGATATGCTCTAAGTGAAGACTGAAGTAAAAATTAAAATTAATGTTATATGTTGATTAGCGATCACATTAAATAATAAATCCTTCCCAGTAAGCTAGCAGTTTTATTAATTATTGTGACTTAAAATGTATTTCAAAATGATCATATGCTTAAGAGTTAATTATGAAAGTTTTCATGATTTGTTTTCAAAGAATCTGTTCAGAGCATTCTTGAAGCTTTACTGAAACTGGTTTCCCTCTTTCTCTTGCTGACCACACTGATTTATTTGTGACACTTACCTCCATCCCTGACATGACTTGGCTATCACTGTGAAAAATTCAATTGCACAAGTTCAGTGGGAACCTAAATGAACTCTCTCTGCAGATGGAACGGCTTTATCCCTTGAGCTGGGACACTGGCCTATGTAATTTTTTGAATTAAGTTTGCTTACTTTTGTCTTAACAATTCTGGAACTTTTTTCAAGCCGGAAACAAAGTCAACCCCATTCAAGCCTTTTTTTGTTTCATTTTCTGATGGTCCTGTAATAGAACAGAAACGGCTTTTCAAAAATCTGTTTATTATTATAACTTTACCCTAATTCCTCCCTTACAGGAGATGGCTACGAACGGTCTCAAAACACAGAAAGTTCCTAAAGAACTGATGGACTTAAAGGAATTAAGACTGTTCTTTAAAATATCCAGTCAGACATTTCTATACAAAGAAAACAAAAATAAACAAAAAGTGCTCTAAGAAAGCTATAGTAGTAAGAACCTTTTCGTTAATTTGTTCTTCCTTTAATCAGATTTTATTCTGTTCCTTCCTTCCTGTTCAGTACAAATCTAAAAGAGAGCATAAAGAACAGCATGGAAAATATGTGTTACCTTAGCTCCAAGCCACATACCAAATCCAGTTCTATAGTGTGTGACACAATGTAAGACATGGGACAACGGCTCAGTTACGCTGTCCTCCTTCTTGTGCTTGTTCCTAAGGCTGTTTCCTGACTTTGTTGTTGCTGTTGTTGTTTCCCTTTGTGTTCTAAGCACTAATGAAGAGATTTATCTAAAATTTAGGGACACATCAAGTAGACCAAACCAAAATAAATCGTATTATTCTCTTCTAATCCTAGTATCATTAGACATCCATGCTACCATGATTGTTTGGGCATTTAATTAGTACAGATACCTAGATCTAACATGTTGTAGTCATTATTGTAATAAACAATCAAGCAAATAAACAAACACTAACAAAGGAGAGGCATATAATTCAGAGAGCCACTTTAGTGATGAGACACATAGAAGCTGTTATTTCTTATATCATGAAGAGTTGTGTTTAGAGATTCAGTCTAGAAATTCAATTCTCATTCTTGAGGGACTGGTCCGAATATTTCACTTATTATTTATATTTATTCAAGTTCTGAGTTAAAGCAAAATCCTAGTGCAAAAAAGATGTTAAATTTTGTTAGTGTTTCTTAATCAAAAACCGTACAACCAAGTCATTTTAAAGATAGATTCTAGGTAAAACACATGAATAGTGATTGGGGAAAATGATTTAAAAATATTTTTGTGGAAGAACCCCTTTGAGTTCTGTGCTTGTAGTTCAGAAAAGGCACAGAAAAGGCACATCACTGCTGCCTGTAAGCTTAGTGAATATTTTACACAGCCAGTGGCTTTAACAAGAAAATCATGATCGTGTAACTTGCTTTGGTGGCATGGTTTTAAATGCAGTTTCTGTATGTTACACCTGGAGGTGCAAAGGCCTTTGAGTATTCATAATCTAGTTTATCTCATTTTGCATGTTGAATAGACCTCAGGCCACATCAAAGTAGTTGTCTGGTTTTCATGTTAATCAAAAAAAAATAGGATGAAATTTTGGATTTCTCATACCTGGTTGTACCTCACTCCTAAGACATCTCTATTTGTCATAGAGTAAGATGCCACCCAACATGAGTAATGGTAAAAGAATCAGCCCTGCACACTGAAAACAGTAATACTTTACAAAGCTAATTAGTAGAACTCTAGACAAATATGGACACAGTGCTAACTGTCACTGGGGAGGAAAAAAATAGGTTTATTCAAAAGAGAGACAGAACTATGAAAAACTATAACATTCAAGTGTGTTCCGGTTAAGCAACTCATTATGAAGATTTTATCTTAAAAACAAAAATGTCATTAAAATAAATCTAAAATTTGAATAGAATTTAAAAATAAGTCACTTTCCTTAGAATTAACCAAAAATTTTATTGTGAAGTAACACTATTTGTGCAGTGTTATTATTATCAAGCTAGCATGTTCATCTCTGATGTGTTTGGAAATGCAATTAATAGAAATCTATACATAATTTACATGTTATTTTCATATATATAAATTATAATAATAAGGTAGCATACAAAATTCCATTTAAACTATGACACAGATGAATTCTGTCTATGTTTCAGGTAGGATAACAGTCCCTGTGTTTTCCATCACTGCCTAAGTGCTTAAACATCTCCCCGACTGCTGAGTAAATTTTCCAGGTGTCTCATTCAGTTGTCCACATCTACTCACAAATACAGAGGTACCTATGTCTTGCGGTAGCTCCACTGCAATACAGGCCCCAGTGGAAAGGTTGCCAAGTTTTTTTTTTTTTTTTCTCCTGAGTAACTGAAAAAGTTTAATAATTTATCCTAACTTTCTAGGTGGGGTACATATTCAAAGATCATCTTCAAAAGTTGGACTCTTGCTTAGGAGGTTGTTCTCAGGCTGTCCTCATCCTGACAGGATGTGAACCACTTGAGTTCTTATCAGTTGTGGTAATTTTGGCACAGTTTTCTTCTGTTGAAAAAAAAAAAAAAAAGTCCAAATATTGGGCCACAAGAGCAAGTCCTGCTTGAATGGAGTGTAATTCAAACTTAGGAGAAGATGACCCAGGTTTCTGATTCCTGCTTCTTTGCTGGATTCATTTTTCTGTATCCCCAGCTCTGTCCTCTCTTGAGGGAAGAGACATTTCTCCTTCTAGTCCCCACTCTGCATTCCTTGAAAGGTGGGGAGTACATGCTCAAACCTGCTGGCTAGGGCACTTGCTGAAGACATGGGAGCTGTGAGTCAAACCTCTCCTACTGACACAGCTTCAGGACTTACCTGCTGGTCCTTCCTCTGGCTGGAGATGGATCCAAAAGGATATGGTCTTCCCAGGGATCCTCCCAGGGAAGCCCCAGACCCCCAGGGGCTTTTTCTTACTCATTTTGAGATGTGCTCAATGCTAGCTTTTGCCAGCTGTCAGGCACTTCTTTTCATTGCCTGAATTCTTCTCAGATGGTAGGCAGTGGCCTGTCAATCATAGATTGGTGGATGGGATCCCAAGTGTATGCCTATGATCTCTACAGAATCAACTGAGTAATAGACAACTAATTAGTCAGATTGAATCTCTTGCAAGGTATCTTCAAGATCCATTACTTTTTTTTTTGGTTTTATGGGAACGGCAATCATTATCACTGATTCACAAATGGCAAAGTTTTAATACAACCTTTTGGAAATCTGCATTTTAGTTTAGTATTGGTTTATGATACTTTACCAAATTGTTTATTTAAATATTCATTACTTTACTCTTTGCAGAATGCAGAAAACAGAATTGGGAATCCCTCAGCTGAATTCATTAATGCCATTTGATGAGCTGACAAGCTTTAGAGTTAATGTGCATGCACTTCAGATGACATAGATTTTCCATCCTCTCTCTTGGAGGTAAGGATGGTGACTGAGCAATGGTGACTCCTGGTGCAGTGCTTGTCTGATAGTAAGAGTCCTTCTCTGGAAGGACTCTTGCATGCAGTGTCTTACGTCGTCCCATTGGGTGCTGTCTTTGATCAGCCCTAGAACATCTGCCCTACCTCCCTTATGGAGATCACCCAAAAGGGATAAGTCAGCATCCAGGTTTGGGATGTAAAAAATCTTAATTAGGGCAAAATATTCCTGGGTGTCCACCCTCAGTGATGTAGTTCTTACTGACATAGGTGGATATTTTATATTTCAAATGCCTGCAGCCAGTGAGTAAGGAATGAAGACTCAACCCCTTTCCCTGGCTCCTTAGAAGATACACGGGCTGCAGTGTCCTGCGAACTGAGTCAGCTAAAGCCTGACCTTGCATTGACCTTTAAGTTCCCAGTCCAAAGGAAATAGTTAAGTAACAGGTAAAACACATGCAAAGTATATCTGCTTACTGCATTATTTTGCCCAATACTCAAGCGCACTCAGGCATTTCACGTCAACAGAGGAATACAATTATGGTACTAAAATTAGTTGGGAGCGATGGAGTTTTCACAATCCATATATCCTTTTTTTTTTCTACCACTGACTGAAATGCAGATCACAGGAATAGTCACTGCTTGGCTCCTTTTTCTTTTTTTCTTTTCTATTTTTTTTTAAGATTAGTTATGTGGATTCCTATAGTTCCTTTCCCTGTGGAATTACACAGATCACAGAGAGAGATGGAGGGCGCGGCCGGGCTGCCCGTGCACAGGAGTGGGCCAGTCAGTCCGACAGCTGCACAGAGAGTGGTTATCATGTAAGGGGATGCTTTTAGTATCAGGGAGTAATGCATAACTGCAGCCAGCACTGCCCACACCAGCGAGTTTACAGACACTCCCATAGCAGAGGTCAAACACACAGTAACACCAAGAAGCAGTGGAGCTACCTTTCCCAGGGGGAAAGCTCTACCTCACCAAAACCCAGGCTGATCTGTGAGTCTATGCAGCCTCTAGCTGACTGTCTGTTAAAGTGCTTATGACTGCTGGTCTGGAAGTGTAATGGAAAATGCATTTTCTGTGCATTCACACACTGACAGTCTAAACTGTGGCACTGTAAGCCTTTCCCATGAGGATGCATGAGCCTTGCTTTGAAGGAGCTGGCTTTAGGGGTCACTAGTTAGCTCCTTCCCCTCAGGGAATCTGCAGTTGGGTTCCTCTGCTGAAGCTGCCACAAGAACATAGCTGCCTGTTTGAATCATAACTGTGTTACCAAAAAGGGGCAATTCTCCCCATATCAGCAAACATGAATATGTTCTCAGTGTGGCCATGTAAAGTGCAGTGAGCACACCAACTGATGTCAAAAGCAGCAAATTTGACAATTTATGGTCATCATCCAAAAGCTGCAGCAGCCTGAGAGTGGAAACGTTTTTGCCAAGGCCCTGGTCCTGCAGTCACTGGCACGCAGATTGCCATGCAGGCCAGGCCGAGCCACCCCGAGGGCATCAGCCTTGGTGGGGACATGCAGTGATGCCAGCACACATCTCGGGCTATCAAGGGGAAAACCTTCATTTCCTTTAGCAGAAAATTTATTTTTAACAGTGTTTGGGTACCTGAATATTTGCCCTAATGCCTATCTCTCTTTGTAATCCAACACATAGGGATCTGTTTGTGCCTTGAAAGCTAAAATACTAAAGACGTGCAAAGCTTCTCATCCTGCAGTGATTGGCAGGTTGCTGCTTTCCTGGGTGGGATACTCTGAAATCAGCATTACTTCATGTAGACAAAACGACCTGCCTGCTTAATATGGGTACAAAATAAGGGCCTCTGAGGGGGAAAGCTGGAGGAAAGGACTGGACTCAGTACAAAATCCTACTCCCAACTGCCAAAAGTGCAAATCTGGAAGCATTATTCGTGACTCAGAATTACTCATTATTCAGACATTCTTCACGTGTGTTGCATATATTCCTAGGGTGGAGATTTTAAAAAGGGGACAGGGAAACCTGAACATTTGCTGGGGTTCATTGGAAAGCAAAGGTTATTACAAGTATTATTTATTTATTTATTATTACACGCATTATTTATAACTCTTGAATATATGTCTTTAGCTAAAAGTTATTCATACAAACATACTAAATACATACAAAAGGTATAAAGAAAACAAGTAAAAGGGAACAGCTGAAAATGTGTAGGTCACTGCAGCTGTGTTGGAATCAGATGGATCTGTGATAGACTAATGAAAGATATGTGAATAATTCATTTCATATTTATCTACCTTGAGGTCGTGTACAACATCTCTTATCATAACATTTGAGCTCCTCATAGTCTCTGTTGTATCTTCACATTTCCCCTGTCAGAACCTATTATTTCCATTGCACAGCTGAGCAATCAAATCGCAGACAGCAACCCAGAAAGGATTTATCCTGATTTTATGCCCTTTCTAGTACCCAAGTTAGAAACTCACTCAGTCACTCTAAGGATGCCCTGCACTTGGGAGGGGAAGTTGGGCAGTCCTAAAAGGCACTTGAGATTTTATGTGAAGTTAATCACCAACCAGGGCAGCACCTCTCTTGTCCTTTTCTCCTATCTGGGTACAATTCAGCTCCCAAGGAAGACTCTTTAAGTGGCAGGAGCTGGATGAAATGAATACGAACATCAGTAATTTGCCCGTGACTGAACAAGAAATGTGAGGCACGCTATGAAAACAGTGCACCCTCCTAATTCCATGCCATTAATCCAATCACTTGTGCCATCTTTTTCTTCTGATGTAAATCTGTCCTTTCACAAAGGTCAATGATTCTATAAGTACCATCAGCTTGCCCTGACACCTTTGAATTGAAACTGATACAGAGACAGGTGAACATAACAGGCTCTTCTCCAGCTACCAAAATGCATGCTGTTGTCAATATATGTATTACAGTACAATTTAGCATCATGGTGAAAGTCTGTTACTGGCTTGCATGAAGTGTATGTCTTTTTAAAGGCAGATAAACTGTAGGCTGCTCAGATTTTATAAACATGTTTTCTTTTCCCCAGGTGAAATAAAAGCTAGCTAACAATTCAGACTCACAGACACCAATGTAAGTCCCAAATAACCCTTTAAGTAAGTTATGTTATTTCAGGTTGACATGCATGTAATCAGAAGCAGAATTTAGATTATAGAATATAGAATTTAGATCTAGATTATTTAATCCAGTCTAGTGTAAAAAAGGACAGGTCCCCTGGGAGAAATACAGGAACGTAGTCAGGGAATGCAGAGATGCGACAAGGAAAGCTAAGGCGCGTTTGGAACGCAATCTGGCAAGGGACGTTAAAAATAACAAGAAAAACTTCTTCAAATATATTAACAGCAAAAGGAAGATCAGGGAAAACGTGGGTCTGCTGGTGAATGGGATGGGCACCCTGGTTACAAATAACACAGAAAAAGCAGAGTTGCTGAATGCCTTCTTTGCTTCGGTGTTTACCAAGGGCAGCCCTTTAGAGCCCCAGGCCCTAGGGACAAGAGAAGAAGCCGAGAGAGAGGAAGACTTGCCCTGGGTAGAGGAAGATTGGGTCAGAGAGCACCTAAGGAACCTCGATACCCACAAATCCATGGGCCCTGATGGGATGCACCCCAGAGTGCTGCGGGAGCTGGCAGAGGTCATAGCTAAGCCGCTCTCCATCACCTTCGAAAGATCCTTGAGAACGGGGGAGGTGCCGGAGGACTGGAAGAAGGCCAATGTCATGCCAGTCTTCAAAAAAGGCAAGAAGGAGGACCCAGGCAATAACAGGCCAGTGAGCCTCACCTCCGTCCCTGGAAAAGTGATGAAACGGCTCGTACTGGCTGTTGTCTCTGGGCACATGGAGGACAAGAAGGTGCTCAAGAGTAGTCAGCATGGATTCACCAAGGGGAAATCTTGCCTGACTAACCTGATAGCCTTCTATGATGAAATGACCGGCTGG